CGCTCCGGCCCGCGGGACGCGCATCGGCCCCGGGCACGCGGATAATCCCCTGTTTTCCCCTGCCGCTGGAGGAGAATATTGATCTATTCTTTAATACACACACACAGCGCTCCCTGTATTGAGGGTAACTGCTAAGGTCGGGGAAGAGCATGAGAAAACCCAACGGAGAGCTTCAGTGGTGCTCCTTAGCTCCCCGTTTCTGGGAGACAACAAGCACAAAATGGGTCAGATCGGTCTGATCAATTTTAAACACTACGGAAATGTTGTTTAAAAAGAAATCGCCTGGAAACGTACTGAGCTGCATTTTAAAATATAATGAATTTGCTGCTCTCAATCTGCACGACAGATGAAATTATTTTATCCTTTTTTACATCTGTTCTAAATGCTTTTGACTGCTTAAAAATCAAATCCGCGTGTTTATATCGCTCTAGCCCTTGGGTCGTACGTAGCACTAAACATCTCGCACTGGCTGGGCTATTTTTAAGGTAAATTGAAATGGCACAGTTGGCTTCTTTGGGAAGCAGTGTTTTCAGCTTTATTTAAGATTTTTGCATCTTTCTAAATTCCTTTTTGGGAAGTGATCAATCTCATCTCATTTGTTTTCAAGTACTGAAATCCTGGGTTAATCCAGGCCCTGGATTAACCCCTGTCCATGGTTCATTCTGCCTTGGGAAAACGACTTCACGTTTGGCCCTGGCAGGTCGCTCTTTGATCTCTTATGTCCTGGACCCTGTAAAATGCATCTTTCTAACTGGGAAGGTGTTTTAGCTCAGGAAGGAAGGAGCTCGCTTCCAAAAGCATTGCTAGGGCCTGGCCTTGCCCTGTGCACATCTGTAGATGGCCTCTGCACATTAACTTTGGAGCAGAAGTGGGTGAAGTCCAGTATTCAGCAGGGTCTGTGTCCTGCGCTAAATATGATCAGCCATTTTTGCATATTTTAGTTAAACATATATATATACACACATATTTATCTTTTGCATTATATTGTGTCAACATCACCTAGCTTGTTGCTCAAGAATTTAAATGTGTGTGCCTTCTCTAGTAGAAAAAGAATTTCAATATATTTCAGGCTTTCGGCTGTTAAATGCATTGAAGGAGGGGAGTGAGGGGGCTTTACTGCAGCCTGTTCCTCTGCAGGTTGCAGATGCGAAGAGCCCGGAGAAGCGGACGTCGCTGTCGAAGCCGCCGTCGTCCGTGACACCTCGAGCGGCCGTCAGGAGCAGCCCGGCCACCCCCAGGACAACCGCAGCGTCCCCGGTGGCTGCGGCGCCGGCCGTGAAAACCACTGCTGCTTCCCCGCCCAAGAGGCCCACGTGTGAGTCTGGGTTTGCTTCTCCTTTCCTGCAGGGTTTTGTGTGAGCAGCGCTGGTGCTTCCCGGGAACCCGTGGTTCCTGTGTCGCTGTGTTGGCCCCGTCAGCGTGTCCTGATCAGTGTCCCAATAAACAGCCGTGATGTTCGCTGAAAACCAAGCGCTGAAGTGCAGCCACTTAGCAGAAGAGCAGGCTGCTCTGCAGCCCTTTTCTCCAGAGGGATCCTCTTCCAAAGAGCGACCCTGACTGACCTTCAAATCAGCTTGGGTTTCCAGCTGCCCAACAGCAATGTGGGCTGCAAGGCTAATGTGCTTAAGGGACGTACTTGATTAAAGAATGCTGCTAAGTATGAACTTCGGAATGATAATAGTTAGAATAAGCACTTGAAGACAATTCAGAACATGGGGAAAACAAATCTAGAGAATGGAACTTAAAGAGTTCAATCTAGCAGCCTCCAAAGAAGGTTGGACTGCCATGCAGGACACGCATGAGAGCTTTGAGAGCCACGACTTGCCAGCCTAGCACGGGAACAGCTGGTAGCTGATGAGATAGCCATTGCAGCAGGTAATCGAGGAATTAGGTGAATCCAGTTTGTTTTGGTGTGTTCCCAGCTGGATGCATTATGTTCATGGAGATGTACCAGCTCACCTCGAAGATGTTCTCCATACTGTAACTGTGAAATGAAGTTCTAGGTTTTAGGCCTCAAAATGACTGCGCTTGCTCTTCCTTTGATAGCACTTTCCACACTTAGACCTGGAGTAAAGCTAGAATTAAACAACGTTCAGGTGAGAAGACACTGGCTTATCTTTTAGATAAGCTAGGATGTTTGTGGGGTTGAGCCTCACAGCATCCCAGAAGGGCCGGGGCTGGCAGGGCCCTCCAGGGACCCCCCAGTGCAGCCCCGGCTCCAGCAGGGACACCCAGAGCACGGGGCACCCGGGCGCATCCAGGCGGGTTGGAGATCTCCAGAGCAGGAGCCTCCACAGCCTCTCTGGGCAGCCTGTGCCAGGGCTCGGGCACCCTCACACCAAGGAAGTTCTTCCTCACACGGACATGGAGCTGCCTGGGGTTCAGCCTGTGCCGTTCCCCCTGGTCCTGGCAGCGGCAGCACCGAGCAGAGCCTGGCCCCGTCCTCCCTGCATCCTCCCCTCGTTACTCGCACATGTTGATCAGGTCCCCTCCGTCCCCCTTCTCCAGGCTGCACAGGCCCTGCTATTGCTATCATTTAAAAAATGTCTGTAGCTCGTGAGGACTGTGAGGCCAAACAGAGGGCTCGGTCGCAGGACGGTCGTCGGTGCCGCTTGCGATGCCGTTGGAGCGATGGCTTCGGCTGGGCTGTGCTCGTTTGGCCAGGATACCCCTTGGCTTCCCAGAGATGAGTTTCCTCAGCTGCCCAAAGGCGGTAGCAGAAACCCGTTAGAAACGGCTTCTAAGGTGGCAGTGGGAGCAGTTTCCATGAGGAGCGAGCTTCGCCTTCTCTCCATAGCTGCAGTCTGCTGCTTTTCCCCTCGGGACTGATGTGGGAGGATCCTGGAGCAGAAACCGCCTGCGCTGTGTCCAAGTTGAGCCCTGCGACGGGGTCCCCGTCCGCCTGACACCCCCGTGTGAGCCACGAGCAGCCTCTCGAGGCCCAGCAGCACCCGTGGGCCTCCCCGTGGGCTCGCAGAGGTTTAACCACCCACGCAAATGGAATGACTTGTTCCCAGGTCTTGTCGAGGGACTGGATCTCATTAGTCAGTTGTTGAGTTGTGCAGGGAGAGCGGGGCGTATCGCCGGTTTTATTCTAAGGGATTCATAACCCGCCTTTCCCAAGGGAATAGCGTCCGTGTTTTAATGATGCTGGAATGCCCTAGGCTGGATACATGTTCCTTAGTTCAGGCTTTAGAGGAAAATACAATTAATCCTGCATTGGGGAAGTGATTGCCCTTCCCAAGAGCCATGCACCTCAGCTGATCCCATGGACCGCCCTGGACAGTCCGTTCTGTGCTGACCTCCATACAAGCTGGGGCCCAGAATGCCCAACGTGCTTTAATGAGTTCAATTAAGTTAATTTCTCCTTCCAAAACTGAGGCCCAAACAAAGGAGAAAAGTGCTTTCTGATGGCGTTTGAAAGGAGATGGAGTTAATGATGCGGAGATCCGAGAAGCTTGTTCCAAGCAGCAAGACGCGGAGGGGAAGAGGCTTCTCCCCCGACCAGCTGGGCCGTTGGCAGAGGACAGCGAGGGAACGGGGAGCACGGTGGAGATGAGGTCAGCCGGAGAAATCCCACCGGCAACGTCCCGTCAGGAGCCCAGGCAGTTTTGTCCGGCTCCGGGAACGCGGAGGGGAGCCGGGAATGGCAGGAGAGGAGTCGTGTTTTGAGGAGGATGGAACAAGGGGCGACAGAGCGGCCTCCGGAGCTGCCCGGCGGGGGATCGAGGTGGGCCAACATCAACAAGGTAGACGAGGTGGAAGAGAGGTAACCTCGGCCAGACACATGGACGTGGCTGCTGCCTGGCACGGACGTTGGTAACTGCACCCCTTTGCACAGCTAAGGACCGTGTCCGTCCTTTCAGCTTTATAAAAACCAGGCACGTTCCATCCATACAGTGGGTTTTCTCAGCTAAACTTGCAGGCTCATACAGGAAGATCAGGTCTGTTCGATAGGACCTATTTTTAAAGTGGTTGGTATTAATGATATATCTGTCCTTGAGGACTGATTAAATTATCCCGTGTCACTTTGGTTTCATCTCATCAGCGAGTATCTCAGCTGGGGGGTCTCACTGAGCGCAGGCCGGGCGGGACGTCCCGCGCTGGTTCAACCTCTGCTTCTGCTTTTTGCTCTTTTCTGTCCTGGAATCTCATACATATTCGTTCAGCCCCTTTAGTTTACCTAAAAGTCTAAGATTGTTGTTCCTTCTTTAGGCTGTCCCCTTCCTACGTGGAACGTAGCCAAGTCCTGGTGTCTGCCTAAAGGTGTATTTTTGGTTCAGCGGTTTTTATTGTAGTGCAGTCACAGCAGAGGCCAAAATACGGGCAATAACTTCTATGTGAGGAAGATCCGCATGCGGTTAGACTTGATCTAGCAATGGCACCCAGGCTATAGATAGCCAAATGTGGTTTTGATTTTGCAATTTGGTAAAGAAAGGCTATAAATCGTTTCAAGAAATGCAATCGGGGCAGGATTAAGACAGCGTTAGGGGAAGCGCTTTCGGGCTATTTAAAGACAAAAAGCAGATGCAAATCTATGCCGAGCTGCGTTGCGGCATCCCCCGGCCCCCCAGGCCGGGCACAGCGTTGGCGCCGGCGGCGCTCG